AGAAATGGGGATCACATGGAGGGTTAGCAACAGGGGAGTGGGAGGAGGAGAAAGGGGGAGAAGTTACAGAGAAGAAGTAGCATAGATGATAGGTAGAAAATAGACAGGGGGGGCAAGAATAGTATAGGAAATATAGAATCTAAAGAACTTGTGACACATGGACATAAATGAAAGGGAGGAATAGTGGGGGAGGGGTGTGCAGGGTGGAGGTGAATGAATGGGGGGAAATAGAACACCTGTAATGGCATAATCAATAAAATACATTAAAAAAATAGAGACTTGTGTAAATAAGTCACAGTTTATGTATGCAAGGAAACACTGTAGCCATTTGAGAGAGAGAGAGACCATCTGTATTCATTCTTCACAGGAAATTATAGAGGGAAAGGGGCTACAAAACAGTACCTACAATATGATTCCCTTTGTGTATAATAATTTGTCTATCTATAAATAGGGAGGAGTCTAGAAGGAGAATTTCATCAAGATGTTGAATGGTCTATGCGGAAGACTTTTGGAAACTTTTGCTTTACTTATGCTTAAAATTTTTTTCTACACTGATCGTGTAAACAGAAAAAACAAAAACACATTTTATGGAAAATATATGCAAAAGCAGGCGTACTGCATCTGGGTACAATTACCATGTTAGTTATTGCTGATGGGTTGAAGTATATAAACTTACTGATGGCATCATCACTCTAAATACATACTCTTACTGTTCCAAGCATTTTACCTCCTGCCGATAACATCACAGAATGCTCCTTGTTACTGCCCGTAAACTGGAGATCTACCTTTGTGAGGTGCCAATGACCCTAAGATACTTTTCTTGGTGTTTTTATGGAATTTAATTTGTCTGCTAAGCTATAAACTCTGCTCTGTTTCCATAGCAATAACAAATGCTCTGCTATGATGAGTGCAGATGGCTTTGAAAGGAGTGGGGTCAGCAGTCATACATCACATTCCATGGAGCATGTGCAGAACACTTCCAGACACTGAGCAGATAGATGCATCATACTAAATTTCTAGAGGTTTGATGCAAAAAGCCCAGCCCTCTCCTGAAGAACAACATGGCTGCCTTTTGCTCATCATCTGGATCTAAACATATTTTTCAGTGTCCATCATTTTTACTTGTATGAATGCATGACCTTTTGAATTACTTGATATTTGGTCAAATCTTATTCATTCTTCAAATTCCAACTGCAAAATAATTTTTCATTGGAGCATCCCTTAACATATTAAAAAAAAGTTGGCTGCCCTTCCATTATTTTACACCCACCCTTTCATTTATTATTTTTGGTCTCCCTAACTAGATTGTGAGAATAGGATCATATATCATCTTTATATCACCAATACTTGGCACAGAACCTCATTTAAGAAATCTTTGTACATAAAATTAAAATAAATCTTTGTAAACTGAATGTAGATAGAGCCACTCCAGAAAACTGTTTGGCAGTTCTACTACATACGTACACCACTGACATTTATCCCAGAAAGAATAAAACTTAGGTCTATTAAAAAAAACCTTATGCAAATGTTCATAACAGTTTTACTTGTAATAGCCCCAAACTAGAAACAGCCTGTACGCCCTTCAGTAGGTGAATGGTTAAACAAACTATGATATGTCCATTAAGAATATTACTTAGCAACAAAGAAGAATGAATGATTGATTGATATAACTGTGATGGATCTCAAGGAATGAGCACTAAATAAAAAAACCCAATCTCAAAAAACTATATTCTGTATAGTTCCATTTCTATAAATTTATTTACATATCAAAATTAAGTAGATGGATAACATCAGTGGTTAGGGAGAGGAGAGAAGAAAGGATGCAGTTAGAAAGGGACTGCACACAGGAGACTTGTGGCTATGGAACAGTTACATATCTTGTGATGGTAGTTACATGAATCTAACATGATAAAATTTCATAGAACTGCACACACACATACGCACAAGGACAATTTCTAAGAAACAGGACAATAGTGTAAAGCCTGGGCCTCAGAAGGATTAATGTAGTAGCAATATAAAGTATTAAAATGTTTGGAAGGAGACTGAAATACAGGCAGTAAGGGGATACAAAAGGTACCTGACAAGTAACTGGATAAAACAGGGAAGGAAAAAGGATGGAAAAGAAAACTGTGCATATTTATAGAAAAAGGGGCTAACAGTAGTCATCTCTAAGTGTTGTAATTACTAAAGATTTTTCCTTTATATTTTATGCACCAAACTTTCCTATCAGAGTTTTAAAAATTGTGACAACTACTTTTATAGTCAGGAAATGTATTATTTCCTTAAAAACGTTAAGTACAGCCCTGGCTGGTGTGGCTCAGTGGATTGAGTGCTAGCCTGCAAGCCAAAGGATTGCCAGTTTGATTCCCAGTCAGGGCACCCACCCTGAAACTTAGGTATGCAGGCCAGAAACTTAAGTACATGCTTGATTGGGAACAGAACCCATAACCTTTCTGATGTATAAGACAATACTCCAACCAACTGAGCCACCCACCAAGAGCAATGATTACTTTAAATGTAAATGAATTGTGTGCTTCAATCAAAAGACATATAATGATTTACTTTGGATAAGAAAATAAGACTCTCACATATGCTGTCTATAAGAGACTCACTTGAATATAAGACATACTCAGACTGAAAGTAAAGAGATGGAAAAGATATTTCATGAGAATGGAAACAAATAAACTAAAAGCTGGGGTAGCAATACTTACTGCAGACAAAATAGACCTAAGAAACAAAATAAATGAACAAGAGAACAGAAACAGGCTCATAGATAAAGAGAATAGTTTGATGCCTACAAGATGGGATGGGGGCTTAGGGGGTGAGGTGAAAAAGTGAAGAGATTAAGAAATACAAACTAGTAGTTACAGAATAGTCACAGGCATGCAGAGTACCACATAGAGAATATAGTCAATAATACTGTAATAACCATGTATGGTGTCAAATGGGTACTAGATTTATCAGGTGATCAATTGATAAGTTATATAATGTCTAATCACTGATTGTGCACCTGAAACTAATACAACACTGTATTGTCAATTTTAATTAAAAAATATTTAAAGTTAAACAAAGAAAGATATATAAACAACTGGTATATAATTTTAAATGTTTAAATGCACTTAACAATGAAAGAAATACAGATTTTAAAAATGAAAGAGCATTTTGTCTCACTCAAACTGGTCAAACCCAAAAGATACCTACTTTGGTGAAGACATAAAAAAATGGGTAAAACTACTGTGTTATAAATAATAATTGTCACAGTATATCTTGAAGGCAATTTTGCAGTATGAGTGTAGCACACAGCACAGGTTCTAGGGCCAGGCATGAAACTGAAAATTGGGTTCTGCCTTGTAACTAGCTGTCTGAACTTGGGAAGTTACTGAGCATCTCTAAACTTCAGTTTCCTGATCGGTAAAGTAAATAGAGTTACTGAAAAGTAAATCAACATGATATGTAGCTTAAATATTATAGCATATTAAAATCAACTAACAAATAGCTCCTTAAATCTCTTTATTGTAAAACAAAATAATCTTTCATATAAAATTACTCATTAAATTTTCTCAAAAATGTATATATAATTTATTAATTCATTCAACAACTCTCTGGCAATGTATTAGGTACATGCTCTAGTCATGGGGGATATGAAAGAACGCATTTTTCTATATTTATAAGGGAGACAGATAGTAAATCTGATAATGCATGGCAATGTGAGCTTTCCAAATATATGGGAAACGACTTTTCCAATGGAGGGATATTTAGGCAGAAACCTGAAAAGTAACAAGGCAAATAATGAAGAAGTGTGTGGAAAGAGAGCTCCAAGAGTGAGAACAGCAAAGATTTAGCTACAGGACCATGTGAAGCACTTTTATGACAGTGGCAGTGACCAGGGTGGCTAAAGAGGGGAAACCAGCATGGAAGGGTGGTGGAAGGTGAGGTATGAGAGGTACACGGAACCAGGCTCTACGGGGCTTGAAGGCCAAGATAAGGACATGGAGTTTATTCTGTTTGATGAGTAACAGCGGAAGGTTCTGAGCAGGGCAATAATATCACATTTTACTTTTAGGAGGTTTTACTCTAGCTGTTCTGGGGAAAAATCAGACTGAAAAGAGGCAAAAGTGAAAGCAGGAAAACAGTTCGAGACAGTTGTAATAGTCTGGATGAGAGATGATGGTATGGTGGTGGTTCGGAATAGAGGGCATCTGAAGCAGAGGGAGTAAGAAGTTGTCAGATTCAGGACCTATTTCGAACACAGAGCTAATCAGGATTCCACTTCTAAGAACTTAATTCAAGGATTTAATTATAGCTACTCAACAAGATTTACATACAAGGTTACAAAAAACAGGATGCTGATAACTGAATACAAATTGATTAGTTTAATGAACTCTGGATCAGCCATAAACTAGAAAAGATGAAGTCATTTAGAAATGATGATTTTGACTATATAATGACAAGAGAAAATGTTCATAATATGTTAAATGAAAATAACAGGTTACAAGCAAAGTCTCCAATATTAATCTATATTGTCCAAATGAAATTTATAGAAAAAATCTGAAGGTTACACACAAGCATGTTAGTAAAATTTCTCTCTGGCTTGTGGAATCACATGTTTGTAACATTTTCCTTTGAGTTTCTGCATTTTCCAAAATAACCATATATTACTTTGATGAGAAAAAAACATTTTAAAGTATAATATTGCAAAGAACATTTTTCTTTTTCTATTCCTTTTTTCTTTATTTTTATTATAATTTTTAAAAAATTGTTTTTCAAGTACAGTTTTCTGCCCTTCCCCCCACCCCTCCGCACCACCCCAGCCCTCTCCCCCTCCCTCCATTTCCACCCCCCTTGCTGTTGTCCATATGTGCTTTATAATTGTTCTTGTAAACCCTTCACTCTTTTCCCCCTTTATTCTACTCTCCTCTCCTCTCCTTTCTGATCACATTTTCAACAAATAAGGTTACTAAAGAATATGCACTGGAATCCATTAACACTTTGTTACTTACCATCACTTTTCGCAAAGTGTATCTTTTGGATCGAATGTCATCCATCAGCATTTCATAGGGAGTGAGCTGATATTCAATGGGCAAAGGGTTGTACTGCCGCTCTTGGACCTTTTTAAGTTTTACTCCATTCCGCAAATCCCTCATCACCTGTACCCAGAATCGAGCCTGAAAGTACCAATGGTGGAGAGACATGAATGAATTTACTAGTTTCCTATAAGTACCTAGAGTCATACAGAAAAAAAATTAAGAGCTTAGATTATAAAACACTGAGAAAAAACAAACAAAAACAATTAAAAAATTAAATTTTAGGATACTACCAAGTGGGTCAAAAGCTGGTAGGGAATCCACAACCTGTGACTGGTGAAAACACCTGCATATAAATCCTCACTAATCCAGTGTGGTAGACATTGATGGCCTCAGTTCTTCAGGCCTCCTTGTGTGTACGTACACTGTTATGTAGCTTTCCTCACTTAAAAGGAAGACTGTATTTCTCACACTGTGACTTTGGGTTTGGTTATATGATTTGTGTGGCCACTAAAATAGTAATGAATATGACATGACCAAAGGCTTCAAAATCAAATGCACAGTGGATTGTCATCATGCCTGGATTGGCATGGTGCCCACTGACACAATCACCTAGAAGAATGAGACATACATAGAGTGGAGTTAGTACAACTCAACTGCTCTGCAAACTCATGAGTAAAATGTGTTATTGCCTAATGCCACAGTGATTATGTAGTGTTTAGTTATAAAGCATTATAGTGACCACAGTAAATTGATATAACCACCTACTAGCTATTTGACATCCAGCAAGCTGATTCAACTTTCAGAACGATGGCTTCCTCATTAATAAAAGAAAATGGTACTTCATAATTTGTTCAGAAGATCAGAGATGTTCGCTACACAGAAAATGTGTTCTGTACACAAAAACCCTCAAAATTGACCATTTTTGTTATCTTTACATAAATTATTTAATATCAATTTTCTTATCTACAAATAGTAAGTATATCCCTCAAGAGAACAAGATTATATATGAACTACCATATTTTTTGTACCATAAGACACACCGAGGTTTTAGAGGAAAATAGGAAAAAATTGTGAAGCAAAAAATACAGTTAAATACTTAATAATATAAGTAACAATTTATTTCATCAATGTAAATATAAACAGAACTCAATAGTAGCATTAACAACCATTATTCTTCCCTAAATTGAGGGGGTCGTGTGTCTTACAGTCCAAAAATGCAGTACTTCTAACACATATTAAATATATATATTATTATATGTTAGGCCTTTTGTAATCCTGCTTATAAGCTACAGTATTATAGTCTCTATTTCACTGAAGAGTGGATCAATATGATATTTAACTGACATATAGTTTTTAAAAAATTAATAACTGATTCAAATAGCTACTTAAATATATTAAAAATCAAGAATTGTGTATATAAAATAACTGATTTTCTCAAAAATATTCTCAAAAATAATTTGTGATTAAAAAGGAAGTATATCATTTCTTATTCCACAAAGGTTTTGAGTATTTAATATTAAGGTATATTCATACAGAACTGTCCAAAACGTTTGGTGTTTCTGGGTCACAACAGAAGAAGAGTTGTCTTGGGCGACATATTTAATACACAAATACTAACATAAACAAAAAAATCTCATAATGTTTTAAGTAAATTTATGATTTTATGTTGGACCACATTCATAGCCATCCTGGGCTGCATGCAGCCTGCACATAGCAGGCTGGACACCCCTGCTTCGAACATCTTCTAAAATGCTCCTTTTAAAAATAAATTCTTACATTCTGCCATTAAAGACATTCTAATATATCCCTAAAATACTTAGGTTTCTCTCTTGGGAATGCTGTTATGCCAACTTCTCTACTTTTCTTACTTGTCCTTTAAAATCCAGCTGAAGTAAAATCTCATCTTTTAAAAATATTGTCTCTTCTCGCAACTTCTTCAAGCTTTAAGAAAACCTGACACACAAAATTTAGAATTCTTGAAATAGATAAATTAGGGGATGATCACTCACATAGCTTTTGCTATATATGAAAGGATTAAAACAGATTTGTTTTATGTAGCCAGCTCTTTACATATTATTGTTTGGCAAAATTTTAAATATGACTTTTAAAAATTAAAATCATGGATGTTATAAAATAATGCACAACTGTCACTGTATGTATTCCCAGAGTTTACCATTTCCCCCTTATTCCACTAGGAATATTCTCATGTATCAATCCAGCCATTCAAGAAATTCTGATTCTTCTTCATGCTATTCATTTCATTCTAATCTTTCTAGGTAATTCATTTTAATGGTCTTATGAGAAAGAAGTTGGTGACTGAGGTGAATATAACTCTCTTTAAAGTTAGTGCATCTCTTGTCAGTGGTCATGCTACTTTTTAAATGAGGCTGACATACGGCAATAAAATTTTTACTTCAAGTTTATACTAGATATTTGCTAACTTCTGAACACCTGAGTTATTTATCTGGCTTTAATATTCAGAAAAACAAATTTTAAAATTTAATAGCGAAGATGAAATACACCTAGATCAACACTACCAGAGTAGTCGCCTATACAAAGAAAACTTGATAATCAATATTACTGTAAAATGACAAATAATATTAGCTTATAAGACAACATAAGGTATTTGTCTTTAACCTTATTTTTTATATATGTTTTATTGATTATGCTATTACACTTGTCCCAATTTTCCCCCTCTGTCCCCCTCCAACTGGTACCGCCATTTCCTCTGGCAATCCCCTCCCCCTTAGTTCATGTCCATGGGTCATACATTTAAGTGTTTTGGCAACTCCATTTCCTATACTGTTCTTAACATTCTCCTGTCTATTCTGTACCTACCTATTTGTACTTCTTAATCCCTGCACCTTTCCCCCATTGTCTCCTCTCCTCCTCCCAGATGATAACCCTTCAAAGGAGTCCATATCTATGATTCTGTTTCTGTTCTGTTTATTTGCTTAGCTTGTTTTTTAGATTCAATTGTTGACAGCTGCAAATTTATTATAATTTTACGTTCATAGTTTTGATCTTGTTCTTAAAAAAGTTCTTTTAACATCTCATATAATAAGAGCGTGGTAATGATGAATTCCTCTAATTTTACCTTGCCTATGAAGCATTCTATCTGCCCTTCAGTTCTAAATAATAGCTTTGCTGCATAGAGTAATCTTGGATGTAGGTCATTGCTTTTTATCACTTTGAATGATTTTTGACAGTCCTTTTCTTTCTAGCTTGCAAAATTTCTTTTGAGAAATTAGCTAACAGTCTTATGAGAACTCCCCTGGCAGGTAACTCTCTGCTTTTCTCTTGCTGCTTTTATCTTTATCCTTTGGCATTTTAATTATGATGTGTATTGGTGTTGTCCTATTTGGGTCCATCTTGTTTGGAACACTCTTTGCTTTCTGGACTTGAATGTCTATTTCCTTCACCAAATTGGGTAAGTTGTCTTGTGTTATTTTTCAAATAATTTTTAAATTTCTTGCTCTTTCTCTTCTCCTTCCAGCACCCCTATGATTCAAATGTTGGTATATTTGAAGTTATCCCAGAGGTTCCTTTCACTAACCTTGTTTTTTTTTTAATTCTTTTTTTCTTCTTGCTATTCTGATTGGATATTTTTTTCTTCCTATGTTCCAAATTGTTGATTTGATTCTTGACTTCATTTCCTCCACTGTTGGTTCCCTGTAAATGTTTCTTATTTCACTTAGTATAATGTTCATTTCTCCCTGGGTCTTTTGTATGCTGTTAAAGTGCCCAATGAATTCCTTGAGCATCCTAATAACCAGTGTTTTGAACTCTGCATCTGATAGATAGCTTAACTCCATTTTGTTTACTTCTTTTTCTGGAGTTTGGTTTAGTTCTTTCATTTGGGCCATACTCCATCTCCTCATTTTGGCAGCCTCTCTGTGTTTGTTTCTATCCATTAGGTATAACTGCTTTAACTCCTTGTTTTAGTAGTGTAGCCTATTGTAAAAAAGTGCACAGGTAAGTTGTATGAGGTAGAGCCCAGGGCAACCCATGTGAACCAGGCTGATGGAGTCTCCAATATGGAGTCACTGCTTTGTGACCCTGTGTTGGAGAGGGCTCAGAAAGGAGAAAATGCTGCTGCCTGGCTTCTGGAGTTTTGTCTGGGAGGAAAGTGTCTTCTGGCACTTGCTCTGATGTGAGACACTTCTATCTCTTCCTGTATACCACTGATACTCTTACAGGTTCTGCCCCAGTGCTGAAGATAAGAGGGAGTGAGTCTATGAAAGTCCTAAGTCCCTTGTGGGCCCTTTAAAGGTGACTGCTAAGACTAATGAAGTTTCTTCCACTGCCCCAACCCCCACTGATTTTTACAGCCAGAAGTTATGGGGACTTATCTTCCTGGTACTGGAAATCTGGGCTGAGTGGTCTGATGTATGCTGGGATCCCTTGCCCCCAATATCCCTCCCGACTTTTATTCACTACATATGGGTGTGGGACCACCCATTCCACATCTCTATGTCTCTGCCCCTCTTACCCTCCTGGATGAATGTGGTTTTTTAAGTATATCTTATTGATTGTGCTATTATAGTTGTCCTATATTTTTTCTCTTCTTTATCTTCCTCTGCCCTGTATTCAACTGCCCTCCAGCATCCCTCCTGCCTTAGGTTCATATCCATAGGTCACCATATAAGTTCTTTGACTTCTCCATTTCCCATACTATCCTTAACCTCCCCCTGTATATTTTATGCCTACCGCTTATGCTTCTTATTCCCTGTACCTTTCACCCTATTCTTCCCCCTCCCTGCTGTTAATCTTCCACATAACCTACATTTCTGTGATTCTGTTCCTGTTCTAGTTGTTTGCTTAGTTTGTTTTTGTTTTAGGTTCAGCTTATGATAGTTTTGAGTCTGCTGTCATTTTACTGTTCCTGGTTTTGATCTTCTTCTTTTTCTTAGGTAAGTCTCTTTAACATTTCATATAATAAGGGCTCAGTGATGGTGAACTCCTTTAACTTGACCTTATGTGGGAAGCACTTGATCTGCCCTTCCATTCTAAATGATAGCTTTGCTGGATAGAGTAATCTGGGATGTAGGTCCTTGTCTTTCCTGACTTTGAATACTTTCCAATCACTTCTTGCCTGTAAGGTTTCTTTTGAGAATTCAGCTGATAGTCTTATGAGAACTCCTTGTAGGTAACTGTCTCTTTTCCTCTTGCTACTTTTAAGATTCTCTCCTTATCTTTAATCACGGGTAACTTAATTATGATGTACCCTTGGTTGTGCTCCCTTGGGTTAAACTTCTTTGGCACTTTGAGTTTCCTAGACTTCCTAGAAGTCTATTTCCTCTGCCAAATTGGGGAAGATCCCCTTCACTATGTTTTCAAATAAGTTTTCAGTTTCTTGCTCTTCCTCTTCTCCTTCTGGCACCCCTATGGTTTGAATGTTGGAACATTTAAAGTTGTCCCAGAGGTTCCTCAGCCTCTTCTCTCTCTCTCTCTCTCTTTTTTAATTCTTGTTTCTTCATTCTGTTCCAGTTGCATGCTTATTTCTTCCTTCTGGTCCAAATCATTGATTTTAATCCAGGTTTCCTTCCTTTCACTGCTGGTTCCCTGTATAGTTTTCTTTATTTCACATTGTATAGCCTTAACTTCTTCCTTTATTTTGTGTCTGTACATGATCATATCTGTGAGCATCCTGATTACCAGTGTTTTGAACTCTGCATCTGATAGGTTGGCCATCTCATTGTTGATTAGCTCTTTTTCTGCAGTTTTGATGTGTTCTTTTATTTGGGCCATATTTTTTTGTCTCATCACACCTGTTACATTTGTAAGGGGTGGAGCCTTAGGTATTCACCAGTGTGGGGCAACCTACTTTGCTGAGTTGTGGCACTGTATGTGAGTAGTGGTCAGAAAGAGAATAATGCAGCTTGCTTGGCCCTTGTTCCACTTTCAGTCACTTCCCCTGCTATAGACAGGGAATGGGCCCTTCTGTTGCTGATTTCAGGCTGGGTGGGTTTATGAACCTTCTAGGACCCTGTGGGCCCCTCCAAAAAACTCTCCTGTGAGACTGGCAGTTTCTCCCACCACCACAACCACTACAGTTTTTAACAGCCAGGGGTTTTGAAACTTTATTTTCTGGTTGCTAGAATCCTGTATTGCACAGTCTGTCTCGCTCCCCAATTGTTCCTTCTGGTTTATCTGCACAAGAATGTGGGACCACCTGGCCCACTAGCTATAACTGTGACTTCTTTAATTCATTGGTTGTCAGACTTCTACACAGCTCAGTTTTCTGGCAATTCTGGGTGCTATCTGTTTTGTAATCTAGTTGTCATTTTTGCTGTGGTCATGTGAGGAAGTGAGCCAATTTTCCTATGCCTTCATCTTGACCAGATGTCTCCTATTTTTAAACCTTACTCTTTCTTTAATGTTCCAGGTTAATATCTTTCCAAATATCTCAGTAAAGATACTAAATAAATTAAGACTACTGCAAATAGGAAATACCAAAGTGACCATGTACAGATGATCTGATAAACAATGGAATAAAACTTGGCAATAATAAAAAAAAAAAACCCCTACTGATATAGGCAACCACATGGATAAAGTTTTTTTTTAAATTATGCTAAATGAAATAAGCCAAGAAAAACCAGTACATACTACTGATTACATTTATATGTTTCAGAAAATGCAAACTAATCTATACGACAGAAAGCAGATCACTGCTTCCTTGGAAACTACAGAAGAAGGAGGAGTATAAAAGGGTATGAGGAAACTTTGCAGAGTGATAGATAGGCTCATTATTTTGATTGTGGTGATAGTTTCATTAGTATGTATGCATATATGCGTATGTCAAAATTTATCACCTTGTACTTTTTAGGTTTGTGCATTTATTGTATGTTGGTTATACTTTAATAAAGCTGCTAGAAAAGAATATGGCAAATGTTAAAATCTAATATGATCAAAAGCAAGCTGTTCATATCCCCCAAATCTATATCTTTTGCTACTCCCTCATTCAATGATGCTACTCTGTAACTTATTTATCCAGTGTACTTCAGAAAAATCAGAATCCTCAAATGTGCCTTCCTGATGACACTGAATATACCTCGGTCTCTCTGACATTCACTGCCCTGTCCATGAGGCCAACATGCATCTCTGATTCTAAACATATATGAGAGCAAGGATTCAAGTATCTAGAACCAGGTGAGAAAAACAGTAGTATGTCACAGGAATAAACTGCCATCATCTCTTCTAGAAGTTTGTCTTCTGTTTTATGAAGGCAGAGACTCCATATTATTCATTCTACATTCCCAGGGCCCAAATCTTGTAACTATTCATTAAATAAATAAGTGTATAGTACTATACTATAGTTTTATACCTTATTCTGAAACAGAGCTTAAACTGTGACTTACAAGAGTATGCTAAAGTTTTATTATAATCAGAAAGGTCATAGCCCTGGCTGGTGTAGCTCAGTGGATTGAGCACGCGCCTGTGAACCAAAAGATCACGATTTGATTCCCTGTCAGGGCACATGCTTGGGTTGCAGGCCAGTTCCCAGCCGGGGCCAGTTCCCAGCAGGGGATGCACCAGAAGCAACCATATATTGATATTTCTCTCCTTCCCTTCTAAAGATAAATAAATAAAATTTTTTTAAAAAAGAAAGGTCAATATTTTAAAACACCAAAAATCCCCAGAGAAATTAGAGTAATTCTAATAAAATCAGATAGTTTTTAAAAATAGGGAACTGATATTTCCTCTAATGTAAGACCAGGCATTCAAATTCAGGTAATGTCAATTCGTACTATAGTCCTTAACAACCAGCTATAATATTTCTTCAACACTAAACATAACAGGAAGAATATCCAGCTATCTTACCCAGTCAATGTTTTTCAGCTCTTCCAGATCTGTATGTGATTCATCATTCTTTTCCATTTCTTGAATCTTCTTAAGATTCTGCCAGTTGAAATAAAAATATTTGGCATGAAAATTTCATTAAGTTATCTCCTCAAATTAAAACTGGTAATGAATACCTTAAGATAAAATATAAACAAAAGTGTTATTGAAGGAGGTAGTTCAAATAGCAGGTTCAACACAATAACCAATTCTTCAGGGAAACCTTTCCTTCCTCCTTGACCAAGCCAAATTTTCCTGTTATAGTATTTTATAGCACCATAAACCTTTCCTCTACAATTCTTATCAACACTAATTTTATATGTGTTTGTGCCTTCCCACTACACTTCATGACTCAGATTTCTGTTCTCAGAAGCTAATATAAGCACAGTAACTTTTCTGATGATCAACATATATTTGTCAAGTGATTTAATGAATAAACTTCAATATATAAAATGTCTTTTATACATTTTAAATTTATACATATATATTGAAAAATAGTTATCACAATAAGGTTAGTTACACTTCTATCACCTCATCTAATTATCTTTTTTTAAATGGTAGGAATATTCAAGATCCATTCTCTTTACAACTTTCAAGTATATAATACAATGTTGTTAACTATAGTCCCCATGCTGTACACTAGATCCCCAGAACTTATTCATCTTAAAACTGGATTTTTGTACCCCTTGCAATTGCATTAATTCAACATTTGCAATTTAAAAAAATCTTGATTGGTAAAACATACATTCACATATTATTGATAAATGTGTGTTACATCATTCCTACTCACAATAACTCAACTGTAATATATTTTGTTAAATGTATTTGCCTAAATGTATTTGGCCCAAGTTTAAATGTACTGTATGACACTTAGCTTGTTTTATATGAAAATAACAAATATTTAACATAAAATATTTCTAAACTATTTATTTTTAGATTCTCTACATCTCAGATTAACCATCTGCAAAATAAGAATAACACCACCTGTTTTTCGGTACTTAGTAACACATAGGAGTAAAATGCACATAAAGAATAAAATTACTATGACTTGAAGAAAAGGTGGTATAAATAAGGCATTGTTTCCTCTTTACCTAGGAAAGAAATTAGGTGAAATGCATATTTGTTTCAGAATGTTTCCATAATTATTATTTAAAAAAATTTTGTAAATCCTCACCCAATGATATGTTTATTGATTTTAGAGACAAAGGAAGAGAGATAGGGATGGGGGAGGGGTGAGGCAGAGAGGAAGGTGGGAAGAGAGAGAGCAGAAGAGAGAGAGACAGCCAGAGAGAGAGAGAGAGAGAGAATATCAATATGAGAGAGAATCAGCAACTGGTTGCCTTCCATATGCTCCTGGACTGGGGATCAAATCTGCAACCTAGGTATGTCCTCTGACCAGGAATCAAACTTGTAACCTTCTGGTGTAGGGGACAAAGTTACAACCAGGTGAGCCACCTGGCCATGGTCATAATTATTTTTAAAAGAGAAAAGTCAGGTTTTCTGCTTGTGACTATGAAATAAGATACTTGCCACTCATGAATCATGGCCTAAGTTTCCTCTTTGAGCCTCTTGTGCCCCAACTTTAAAAGGAAGATACAACCATCTACATTACAATGCCGTATTTAAAATATAATCAGTCAAGCATAGCAGAACCTTGCATGTACAGCCTCTGGGGAAAAGGAACTCCTACAGGATGCATATCCTGATTCTTCCCTGTACTGTCCCAGCCCTGTCTCTTTGCATTCCAGTGCCTTGCTCTATTCCACTGGTCTTGACTGCTGTTCTTGGCTGTAGTAGGATGCTAAGGGCAGCTAACAAGTGCCAAGCCTTTGGGTAACCATCATTTAACACCAACCATAACCCATGTTACAGGGGAAATTTAAAGCACATAAATACTAACTAAGATATTTGAGGTCTCCTCAAAAGTGAGTGGTGGAATGAAAGTAAAGTAGGTGGAAACAAGGGTCTCAGACATGAGGTAAGATGTGTGGAAGGGACTCCAGACAATGAGAATGATCCTGTTGGCAAAATAAGTGTCCTGATACAGCCCCCAGTGACTTAGATAATTCCTAGGAAAGCAGCTAAGTAAAGTACTACTTTATTTTTGCTAAAATAAATATGTATGAATTGATAAATTACACAAGAAAAAAGAACAGAATTTATGTATTGCAACTGATTTGCAGATAATGGGTACCTAACATCTGGTGTGGTATTATGTCAAAATCTCAGTAATAATCATGACATTATTACTAAATTAGGACTCTCAGTGTTCTATTTTTAAAGATGTACCAGATGTACTGGTATATACAACGTTTCTGATCTCTATTTTTCTAGGGATTATTAGTTATCTTTTAATAAATCACTGATAAAACCATAGTTTTCAACCCAAGTCCACAATCAAAGAAGTATCAAAATCAGAATTGAGCAGCAGACCAAAAAGGAGAGGCTCACATTTATTGTGTTTCTAGATGACTACAACCCAGGCTCCATCCCCCAAAGAATGAAAGAATACATTGTTCTATTGACTAGAAGAGTCTTGATTCTGTTCTTTTTAAACAATTAAAATGGTGAAAGAAAAGACTTGCAGGAGGTGAACTGCCTCTGGGCACCCTAAGACTGTGACATCCATCAGCAGCAGCACTCTCCCTTCCCCCGTCAAAAACAAAATGAAAGCGGAGAAAAAGTACCTCAGCTCTATTTCCTCACACTCCATCCAGCTTTAGAGCACTCACACTAGCTGTTCTCTCTCCCACAAGGCTTTACCCAAATATCCACATAGCTAATTCCCGCCCATCCTCACTCTTACTCAGATATCACCTTCTCAATGTGCCCTACCCTGACCATCCTATATAAATGTCAAGCCCCATGCCCTGGACTTTTTCCGAAGAGACCTCATATAAAGCTGATTATTTTACCTACAGAAGAAACTGAACAAATGGTGCTTTTCACAGAGTGACTTTAACTTCATTTTTGTATACATAAGTTCAGAACTCAACTATTTTCCCAAATACCCTGATTTTTTTTTTTTTGCTGCAAGCATGTCTTTCCACACAGCTACTTCACAAGTTCTCTTATCATATTATCTGTTATAAATATCTTCAAATTCCAAACTCTGTAATCCTGGGATGATTCCATAATAACCAGATAACTGTAAGAAAATCCCAGGAAAACCATTTTTTCTCCCTCGAACTGCCACATAGCTCTTTTTGTATGTGTAAGATATAGAGTTGGAACATGAACCTAACTCATTATTACAGCTCAGCCTCAGCATAAGGATCTCACATTGTGAGAATACTCACCAGATTTCACCAGCTGCTAATGGAAATCATTACAAAAGAGCTTTCGAGAAGGGGCAGCTGAGTATATTGGACTCTAGACCCTCCACACATTCTCCTCTCTCTCTGCAGCTCCACTTTTGCACCCACCCCTTTAAGTATGTTGCAAATCTGTTATTTTCTTTGAACAAAATGTTCCACCACTTAAAATCATTGCTTTGAAAAATAAAGTATAATGCCTTTAAATTCTAATTTAAATTAGAATTTTCCACATTAAAAAACTGTATATCAATGAAGAGAAATACAAAGGAATTAGTTTATCAGATAAAATGCATTCAAAACAAGTCAAGTTAAAGAGTAGTATTTAATAGGTCAAAACTCTTGATCTATTATTTCCAAGAAACAAAAAACATGATCAGGAGATTCCACTTACATTATAGTCAAAATGCTTTGCATGATTGACGATCATATAAGTGTAAAATTGTCATCTCATAATAAGAAAACTGTAAACTAAAACTATGAGAAAAATGTGCACTTATGACTTAAAAAATATTGTGAAGAGGTAGGAAAATGTCACACATTTCTAAGGAGAATATCAATTAGTAAATTTCTATGGAGGAGAATTTCATAATATTTTATGAAAATTATAAATGCAAGGACTTCCGCCAAGATGGAGGCGTAGGTGGAAACACTGTACCTTCTCACACAACCAAGTTTAAAAACAACAAAGTTTTAGCAACAAAAACTCAGCCAAACCACAGAAAATTGAACTATACGGAAGTCTGACAACAACAAACCATTCAGCCAAACCGGTAAGAGGGGCAGAGCCAGCAGCAGAGTGGGGTCGGCCAGGAAAGATCCACCAGAGCAACCCAGGTGCGTGACCCAGGTGCACCAGCAGCCTTGGGCGTATCCCAGGTGTGGAGAAGCAGCACGTGGACCCACTGAGGGCTGACCATGGTCACACATTCACATGCAGATAAACTGGAGAAGGAGCGAGCAGTGAGACAGACCATGCAGGCCCCAGTGGCAGGAAGCAGCAGAGGGGACCACTATTGTCCCTCTCTGACCCCACCCCCACATACAGTGTCACAAACCAGCGACATGGGTGGCCCTGTCCTGGTGAACAACTAAGGCTCCGCTCTTCATACATAACAGGCACGAACAGGCCAAAACATTATGGCTCAAGAAGAACTCAAAGCCCCAGAGCCCATAACTCTATGCGACAAAGAAATAGCCAAACATTCAGATGAACAGTTCAAAACACTGGTGATCAGGATGCTCACAGAACTGGTTGATTTGAGTCACAAATTAGAGGAACATATGAAGGCTAAACTAATTGAAATGAAGAGAAATGCACAGGAAACCAATAGTGATGGAAAGGAAACTGGGACTTAAATCAAGGGAGTGGACCAGAAGGAAGAAAAAAAGACCAAACAAAAAAGGATGAAGAAACAAGAATTCCAAAAAATGAGGAGAGGCTTAGGAACCTCCAGGACATCTTTAAACATTCCAACATCCAAATTATAGGGGTACCAGAAGGGGAACAAAAACAGCCACGAGTGGAACACTTATTTGAACAAATAATAAAGGAGAATTTCCCCAATCTGGCAAAGGAAATAGACTTCCAGGAAATCCAGGAAGCTCAGAGAGTCCCAAAGAAGTTGGACCCAAGAAGGAACACACCAAGGCACATCATCATTATATTAGCCAAGATTAAAATGAAGGAGAGAATCCTAGAAGCAGCAAGAGATAAGGGGACAGTCACCTACAAAGGAGTTCCCA